GGCCTGAGCCACTGCACATGGCCATTAATTTAATACAGTTTTACACAGGAGGACAAAAGGAGGTACCACATTTGAACATTGCATTTATAAACAACTATTATAAAACACATCCTGATTTCAAGATATTAAAATGTAAAACATATGCCTTCAAATGGAGGAAATCCTGTAATTGTGCTCTGAATTTCTTACGTCATAAAGAGTGGACTCTTGCCTGCATTATGTCAGTAGACAAACATTCCTCAGCACGAGTGACGCTGACTCAAAGCATCCTACTTTTCCTATACTGCTTTTTCTGAGGCCCCTGATCACCCCTAAATATTTGTCTGCTGTGTTTTCCTTGATTTCTCTGTTTTTCTTGTATTAAACTCTTCCTCTCAAAATTCTTCACTGGCTGCTGTATGTAGCCTTCTATAGGAATTGACCTATAAGGCTCCTTTTCTTTAGTGGCTCCCATTTATCTTGCCCTCAATGTGGGCACCCCACAAGGCTCAGTCCCCTTCATTTCTCAGTTGTCACTAGTGGTTCTCAGCCCTGGTGACACATCACAATCATTGGTAGAGCTCTTTTAAAATGCCCAAGCCCAAGCTGAATGCGGTGGCTCACACCTTTAATCCCAGCAATTTGGGGGGCTGAGGCGGGTGCATCACCTGAGGTCAGAGTTCGAGGCCAGCCTGGCCAATATGACAAAACCCCATCTCTACTAAAAATACAAAAATTAGCTGGGCTTGATGGTACATGACTGTTGTCCCAGCTACTTGGGAGGTTGAGGCTGGAGAATGGCTTAAACCTGAGAGGCACAGGTTGTAGTGAGCAGAGATCACACCATTGCACTCCAGCCTGGGCAACAGAGTGAGACTCTGTCTCAAAAAAGATAAATAAAATGTCCAAATCCAGATCCCAACCCAGACCAACAGGATCAGTCAGCCTGGACTAAAACGTGAGCTCTGTGACCCTGGCCATGTGACATAATCTCTGACATCAATTTCTTCAGCTGTAAAATTAATGTTAAATCTGCTTCATCAGATTGCTATACACACGTTTTACTTCCCATCATTATAGTTAATATTGTCTCCTCTTTTCTCCCTTTACTTAAAGCCCACCTTTTTATTAAAAGTTCCACTGAACCTTTCCCCTGGCCCCAGCTCTCCATAATCACATTTGTTTTGGCTTGTTTGCAAAGCCCACTGAAAACTCAAGATGGGCTTATAAAAATGAAATTGTCTTCTGGCTGTTCCTTCCTTTCCTTCCCTTTCTTATTTCCTTCTTTCTTTCTTTTTGTTCTTGAGATGGGAGTCTCACTCTGTTGCCCAGGCTGGAGTGTAGTGGCATGATCTCAGCTCACAACAACCTCTGCCTCCTGGGTTCAAGTGATCCTCCTGCCTCAGCCTCCCCAGTAGCTGGGATTACAGGTGTGTGCCACCACATCCGGCTAATTTTTGTATTTTTAGTAGAGATGGGGTTTCACCATGTCGGCCAGGATGCTCTTGAACACCTGACCTCATGTGATCTGCCCACCTCAGCCTCCCAATGTGCTGGGATAACAGGCATGAGCCACTGCACCCAGTCCTGATCTTTATACAGCTGTTCTTGTCACCTTCCAATCCATTCTACATGCAGCATTCCAACATTCCAGAATGATCTTAACAGAACAATTAGGATCATGTTGCTTTCTATTTTAAATCTTCTAATGAATTTTCTTTGTTCTTATGTTAATTAAAATCCAAATTCTCTAGCCTGAGTCTACAAAATCTGATCCTCATCTCACTAGTCTCCCCATTGCTTTCTATACAGTCTGGCAGCACAGGTTGTAATTTGACGTACTCTTTCCCATGCTGTTCTCTCTGCCAGGAATGATCTTATATTCACCTACCTTTTCTTTTTTTTTTTTTTTTTTTTTTGAGCACAGTTTCTTTGTCGCCCAGGCTGGAGTACAGTAGCACAATCTCATCTCACTGCAACCTCTGCCTCTCAGGTTTAAGCAATTCTCCTGCCTCAGCCTCCTGAATAGCTGGGATTGCAGGGGCCTACCACCACAACCGGCTAATTTTGGTATTATTAGTACAGACAGGGTTTCACCATGTTGTCAGTCTGGTCTTGAAATCCTGACCTCAAGTGATCACCCGCCTTGGCCTCCCTCCCAAAGTTCTGGGATCACAGGCATGAGCCACCACACCCAGCCTGACCTTTCTTTTCAACATCAGTTTAATCATTTCCCTCAGTAAACACTTATCTGACCCTCCCCAGGTAGGTGCCCTGCAAAAACCTCCTTTACCTCCTGTATTCTTTATAATGAACTACTTTATCAGAAACTGGATGGATTTTGGTCTGATATTAACTTTTTCTCAATATAGTTCTATATTTTTGATTTATTACCATAAGCTTGATTTACATTTGTAATTAAAAAAAATTTGATTTTAAGTTTGAGAAACAGTATGGTTTGGGTTTTGTTATTTATTTTTTATTTTTGGAGAAGGGGCTCTGTTGCCCAGTCTGGAGTGTACTGGCATGACAAGGCTCACCGCAGCCTCGACCTCCTGGGCTCAAATGTTCCTCCCACCTCACCTCAGCCTCCTGAGTAGCTGGGACCACAGTTGCGCACCACCACTCCTGGTTAATTTTTAAATGTTTTTCTTGTAGAGATCAGGACTCTATGTTGCCCAGGTGGGTCTTAAACTCCTGGGCTGAAGCCAACCTCCCACCTCAGCCTCCTGAATAGCTGGGACAGGCACAGCCACCATGTCCAGTTAAGTTTCTATTATTTGTAGAGATTAGCCTTTGCAACATGGCAAAACCTCGACTCAAACTCCTGGCCTCAAGCGATTGTCCCGTCTCGCTGGGCCTCCCAGCAGATTAGGGGTGTGAGCTACTGTGTCCGGCCAATACATTTTTTTATTAGACAGAATCTTGTTCTGTCGCCCAGGCTGGAGTGTAGTGGCACAATCTCAGCTCACTGCAACCTACACCTCTTGAATTCAAGTGATTATCCTACCTCAGCCTCCCAAGTAGATGGGACTACAGGCACATGCCACCATGCCCAACTAATTTTTTCAATTTTTAGTAGAGATGGGTTTTGCTGTACTAGCCAGGATGGTCTTGATCTCGTGACCTCATGATCTGCCTACCTCTGCCTCCTAAAGTGCTGGGATTACAGACATCAGCCACTGCACCTGGCTGCCAATACATTATTTTTAAAAAGCCATATATTTGCTTTAATGTCTGTCTCCTCCCCTAGAATACAAGTTCCAAGAAGGACATATACTGAGGCTGGCGGGTTCACCATGATGGCCACAGAATCTAACAGTGCTTTGAACTCAGGAGATGCTGAACATATTGAGTGAATGCTGTTGATTGAAAAAGCAGAACACAAAATGTGGTTGGGAGGCTCAGCACTAACCTTGCCCAGGAGAAAGATGGCTCTCAGGCCACCTTACAGGATGCAAACGGGTGGGGCACACCTGAACCTGTCTGAGTCAGGGCCCTATTCAAGAGTATCCTGCTATCAAGTGCTTTGAAACAGGGTAGGTGCTTATAGTCTCAAGAAGGAAGCATTATTCAGGTTACTGGTGTCTGACTAGTTAGAAATAGGACCCAAGCCAGGAGTTATAGAGGAGTCTAGGGGGTTGTCAATACATTTAACTTTAAAAATGTCTAGCTATAATTTTCTAGTTATTCATTATTAATTTGGCTCTCAGTATTTGCAAAGTAATTTTTTTTCTCATATATCCCCAATTTCCTAGTTGAATCTGCAATCTCCTAAATTTCAGAACCATTCTACGTCCTCATGACTCAGTTCAACCCATAGCATATTCTCTAGAAATGAATACAGCCAACATTCTTTGATTCAGAGAACATGCTCAGAGCTTCGGTGTTTCTCAGACACCTTCCAAAAAGTTTTTAATGTTTAAATAAGTGCAACACATTTTCATGTTTTTATCACCAATGCTTCTTGAAGTTTCATTGATTTTCAATGGTGTTTAATGTTTTTCTTTGCTTGGAAATATTTCACAGGGTATTTGCAGTGTATGCCTACAAATGCTATCTAAACAAATGAAATAGAATATTTTAATGAGAATATGTGTTATTCATGCAATAAAGTATACCTGGTTTTGTGGCTTTAAATATGGTTCATACTTAATAAGTTATAGGAATTGCCCACTAAGGTCTTTTTTTGTTCTGAAATAACTATAACACTGACATGGAGTTTGAAGTCTTTTCTCTATTTGATGCAATTCATGTTGGTATAATATAGCCACCTCAGGGCTAATAAAATCCAGTGATTTTGCACATGCTAAAAGCTGATCCTTCAACAATTAAAAGTGAAGTAAAATAGGCCATAGAAATCCTTACCTTCAAACACCTTTGATAACAAAGACAATATGCAATCTGCAGTCTTGTAAGAGCAATGCTGATTGATCTTTTCCCTCTTAGGACTCTGAAGCATACATTATACCTAATAACAGGCCAGCTTTTGCTTGTTTCCTGTAATTTAACATGCCTTCGGATACCCATGTTTCATTTGGGTCAGAAGCTGCCATAAGATAACATGAATTGAAGCCATTATGTGACTTTAGTAAGATTATGTTTATCAACCAAGATTACCCATTATGATGGTTTCCAGGCCAACAGCATGAAATGAGTTTTTTTTAAATCTGAAAAAAATTAATATTGTTGTTTCTTCTACAGAGATAATTATTTATTAAGTTAAAGCTAATCTACTAACCCTGTTGCCATTCTTAACAGCCTCAGGCTTATTCTTTTTCTTTACTATATTCTAAGTTTCTTATTTTAACTATGCTTGCTTTACTCCTTTTCTGCCCTTAATATTTAGCAGATAGTGAAGATTTACTGTTTATTAGAAATAAAAATTCACAAATTTACAAAAAACCTATATGAAATAAAAAGAAAGTGATAATATACTTAAAATTTAAAAAAAATGAATCCTGTTACCAAATTAGGAAAAAACACACTAATTAATAAAAAATATATTCATATTTGCTTACCATGGGTTTTGATATCTGTGGGTTATTGCATCAAGAGAAGCTTGACTTAGTTCTGCATACTGTAAAAGGAAGAAAATTAATGTCCCCTAATTCCAAAGTAAATAGGCAACACGTCTAAGTATACATATTTCTAGACAAAAAGGGAGTCAGGTTGGAAAATGAAATAGGAAATGCTAAATTCAGCTAAAAGAAGATCGGGGAAGAACACAGTCTTTTGATTCCTGAACAGAGAGAAGAAAGTACAGGAAGTAAAATAACAAGACCTTACGTGCTTTACTTTCCCTCTTTGAAATGAGGGGTGTTAGGTAGGTAGCAAGAAGAGTGTAAGGCATCATCACTAAGCTGCTTTCCATCTTTATGATTCTATGTCTAAATAAGTGAGCATTCTAAACTACTGTTGTCATTTAGACTCAAACAGGTTAGCTCTTTTCACTTTACTTTCTCCTTATAGAATCAGAAAACGTGGTCGCAATAACGTAGGAAAGAGCTGGATTATAGACAGACTAGGATAAAAGTATAGACCTAAAAACTCCTTTCAGAAGGAATAATTCAGAGTATCGATAACGTATTTAGTGGCTTAGAGCAGGTTCACAGATTAAAAAATAATTCCCACCCCCTCCCATGTGCATTGAAATGATCTGTTATTAATAAATGAATGGCCGCTACATACTGACTCCTCTTCTCCAGGAACTATCCAATGAATAGCACGTCTTGTAAACAAGCATGGGGAATAAAAGTGTCAAATTTATATTGAAAAGTGTCTTGGTCTATAACCATTTCTCAAGTTTCTATACTAGGATTCAGAAACCATGACATGAATTATCAAAAAGTATTTCACTTTAGCTGTGGAACGCATTTTTTACTTACATTAATATGAGATGCAATATTCATAACATCTCAAAAAGTAGCAAAATCCTGTTATAAAAATTTCAGCATTAAAGGAATGATGTTACTTGGTACTTTTTAAATTCTCTTCCCTCTTCTTCCTTTTCCCTCAAGTTTCGGTTTAGAATGACTTTTCTTATTGACTACCATAGAGTTTTTTTGTGCTTGAGAAGGCAAATTCATTTGTGTCATCTTCTCAGGGATAAAGACCTGAAAACTTAATCTCTTTAATGTGCACACATAAATTGAATAAACAAAGGAAGGCACAAGATAAACAAGGTCACTATTCCTCAGAAACTTTGAAAATAATCTGCATATGATGGAAAGATCATAGGACATCTTTCTCACTTGATTCCTGACACGATTCCCTGAAAATTGAGCTTACATTGACTTCTAAGTACTTTTTTTATCAGCTCTGGATAAATTTTGCAGGACTTGAATGATCTTTGATTTTATGCTATTCTTATCTTTAATAACCCAAAATTACATCTTCTTAATCGGGGAAGATCTTTTTCAGAGACAGAATAACACATCTTTTTTCCATTCCTATAGATATCAGTGCCTAATATCATAAACAACTTGTTATCTAAAACAAGCCGGTCCTTCTCTATCTTAACAAAATGTATCACAATTTATTTAAACAGCTATGCTTATTGTAGTGTCAAACCCAATGAAACTGAGACTTAAATAAATCATTTTTTTTTACTGACTAGTCATTTCTAAGAGGAAAGATTGATTTAAAAACCAATTCAACATCTTCATAGAAACAGGTAACAATTAGTATATTTTCTATCTTAAATCAGTGAGAACCTTTTAAACTTATTTTAGATGTTTTCAACAAAAATAATTACAACTGCAGTTTGGATATTTCCTACAGAACAATCTTCAAATGATCATGTATTAACAAAAGGGAAATACCTGCTAACTACATTCACATACTGTGAGGTACATAATTTCTAAAATGGCTAAAAACTGTTAAATTCATTGCAGACATTTGGGGCTCATTCTAGTCAAAAATTCAAGTCATTGCTTAAGATTTTCACTTATAATCTCTAACCTCTAGTCTAGTTCTGACACATTTAGGAAGTCTTTTGGGGACTGTTCCTGAGGAATCCTCTTGCTTTGTTGCAACAATCCAAGATGCTTTTCTTAGTATATTCAATTTTGACTTTTCTTACTAGAAAGAACAATTTTCCATCTCTCTAACTATGAGGTCTTTCTCACCCACAGAATGAATACAATGGCAACGTAGTTCAAGAATGCGGTAGACACTAAGGGTTTTCTTCTGTAGCCTCCTCCTTGGTAACATAGAGCTCTTAGTACCAAACATTTGAGTGGAAAATTCCCTACGGCTATCTTTTCTTATGCTAATGTATTTTTTTTCTTCACTTGCCTCAATTTGCAAAATATTACTGTTAACCCCTTAAGGTGTCTTTTTCCCACAGCCTGTGAGAAGCATTTCCATTGTTGCAGCAGGGTCACCAAATTGCATAACGTTGCCTATTCTAGACTGAAACTATTGCAGGGAGAAAGGCGACATAAAGGCCTTTGCATGAGTGGCGCATTTGAAGTATTCATTTTACATTCAGAGCATGAGTAGAAACAATTCTTTCTGAAAAATGTCAGTGTTTAAGGCATGGATTCTGTGATGTATTTCTCTTGTTAAAGCAAAAGACTGTTCAACGCAGAGACCCATACATACTTCATTTTATGCCACATTATAGATGGGCTTGAGTACCAACATGAATGATATCTTGGTCTTTTACTGTAGTTTTTAAATAATTTGAATTCATCAGCTTTCAGCAAATAGACTAAACATTGGATTCTGTGAGTTTGCTCATGTGGCCCCAGTATCTCTGCTTTCTGTGGAGTATCCAAATAATGAGAAACATAGTCTCTCATGTTTCTAGTGTGCTTGTAACACTATAATTTAAAAATCCATGTAGGCAAGAAAATACAGTATACAGAGACATTAATAATACTAGATCGCATTTGTTCAGCCTCATCTCATTTGTTGAGCTTTCTAAGTGCTTTACACGTGTGTCTCAATCCATTTAATAATACTCTAAGGTATTGCTGTTATCCTATGGTGGGCAGATTTTTTTTTTTTTTTTTTTTTTGAGACACAGTCTCACTCTGTCACCCAGGCTAGAGTGCAGTGGCATAATTTCAGCTCACTGCAAACTTTGCCTTCCCAAGTTCAAGCAATCCTCCCACCTCAGCCTCCTCAGTAGCTGGGACCACAGGTGTACACCACCATGCCCAGCTTGTAGAGACAGGATCTTGCCATGTTGCCCAGGCTGGTCTTGAATTTCTGAGCTCAAGATATCCATCTGCCTCAGACTCCCAAAGTGCTGGGATTATAGTTGTGAGTTACTGTGCCCAGCCAGTGGCAGAATTCTAAGAGAGCACCCAAGATTCTCAACCTCTGGTAGACAGGTGTTCTCTCAGATACTCAACTGAATATTAATCTAGGTGCTACTGTGAAGGGCTTTTGTAGATGTAATTAAGGTCCCAAATCAGCTGACTTGAAGAAAGAGAGATTATTCTCAGTGGGCCTAAGCTAATCAGGAGACCTCTTAAAAAAGACCTAGGCTTTTCTTGGCAAAGGAGATTTGAAGCATTAGAGGGATTTCACATGAAGGAGACTCTCCACAGCTAGCTTTAAAGATGTGGAGGGGTCATGGGGTGAAGTGCCTGGGTGGCCTCTGAATGTTGAGAATGGCCCTTGGCTGACAACCAGCAAATAAATACAACCTCAGCTCTACAACCATAAGAAATCTTCCACAACCACATGAACTTGGAAGACAGCCCCAGCCTCAGATGGCTTCACAGCCACAGTTAACAACTTCGTCTTTGTGAGAACTGAGTGGAGCACCCAGTCATGCCATCCCTGGATTTCTAACCTACAGAACTGTGAGCACATAAATGAGTATTGATTTAAGCTGCTAAATTTTTGGTAATTTGTTATGCAATAGAAAACCAACATAATCCCCGTTTCATATATGGGAAAACTGAGGCATTATAAAAAATAGTATTCAGACTAGCATGCAAGGGAGAAAAGAAGGAATATAAAAAATTCTTTAGCTGGCTATTTTAGCTTGAAAGCCACATTCCATTTTTCACTAAGGTCATGTATTAGTCCATTTTCACCCTGCTATGAAAATACTACCTGAGATTGGGTAAACTGCAAAAAAAAAAAAAGTAATTGACTCACAGTTCCACATGGCTGGGGAGGCCTCAGGAAACTTATGGCAGAAAAGGAAGCAGGTATGTCTTACATGGTGGCAGGCAAGAGAGAGCAAGAGGGAAGCCCCTTATCAAACCATCAGATCTTTTGAGAACTCAGCATCAGGAAAACAGCATGGGGAAAACCACCCCTACAATCCAATTACCTGCTACCAGGTCCTTTTCTTGACTGATGGAGATTATGGAAATTACAATTCTAAATTAAATTTGGATGGGGACACAAAGCCAGACCCTATCAGGCCACAAACAGATTTGCCCTGAGAAGTGATATGAATGCTAATTGCCTCATTAATTCTCAGAGAAAAGGCATATTTTTCAATGCTGTGGGTGGAAACAACAACAACAAAAAAAACAACAACAAAGATAAATTTGTTATTTTTTCCCAGTATCCTTCCAAGGAGATAAATATTTTCCTTATTTCATGCTATAATTCAAAGTACATGAAGATTTTTTTAAAAAAGAAAGACTGGAAATAATTTTCTTGGGAATTGTTACGGTTTTTGATGGATAACCAACCATTCTGTTATCAGCGCTTTATCCAGAGCTGGTTGATGATTCCTAGCAGGGTCTGAAATCTGAGTGGACTATTCGAGCAACAGAAAGCTATTCAAGCACTTCCAAGATGCTATGTGTGCTCAGCAGTTTCTGAAATATTATCAAGGGCCTGCTTTGCAACTGTACTCACCCTTGGAGTTTTCTAATGTGTTTGACACTGTTGTTAATTCTAAGGTTAGAAAGTGTACTCTCCCAAGTTAATTGTCCAATCAGCTCTACAACTACAGGTTGTAGAGCAAGCATTGTGAACATGGGATTTGATATGAGGGAGACTGTGCCCAGTTTCCTTAAGTTTCTGTTTAAGTAAAAGGTAAATCATTTAGAATGATTTTATTGAATAAGCTGGGAGTAGACTAATTGCTAGCCTAAA